GGCTCTACGGGGATGTGCGCTCTTCATGTGAGCATGTTCCTCTATTGCTTGAGAGCGCGATTAGGTATAGTAGCGAGGCACCGATCTCGCTTGTCTATAGTACAGCAAGAGTGGCATGCTATAGTATACGTTTGCACCACTTGGATTCGATGCGCCGTTGTGCGGGCTGCACTGGCGCTTCACAGTGCGCTGCCACGCTGAGCCGTGTTCACCCTAGCAGTGCTCACCACTGTAAATACCTGTTTATGAGGGGCCGTGATGATTACACAACACGCTTAAAAGGACAAAGAGAAAGCTCGACAAGTGGTCTTTTTGGAGCCCGATGAAACAATATATGGAAAACTAATAGATTTACGCTTCTGAAGTATACATTATGCCATAGGTTAATTTAAATCTTGTGAAGCAGAGAAGCTACGGCCATGTCATAGTAGACCCCACCATGAAAGAGTTTCATGGAGGAGTCTACGGCATCTCCACTGACTCATTTTTCATTATGAATGCGACGGAGAATCAAAGTAGAAACAAGAATAGAAGGTTCCGTCTCTAGGAGTTGAACCTTCGACTCTTCGCTGCATGAGGCTCAGTTGACTTGGCCACAGAACATACGTTCTTCAGCTTACTAAAGGCGAGCTATTTTAGACATAATATTGCGTTGTTGGTTCACAGAGCGAAGTCAGTTGCACGTGTTTTGGTCTCGCCAACGAGCTGGCGTTAAGGGGCTCGCAAGGCACCTTCACGCCAGCGCTAAGAGTAGTTTCCCCACGCTCTGCGATGCACAAGCACCTCTTCAGGGTGTGGTCACTAGTGCATGGACGCTTATCTCAAGGTAGTGTGTTTTGTGCTCCTGGTGCTTTCCTTTTAATTGTGACTTGAAGTTTCGGAGAGCACGAAGGCCACTTCGCTGAATGCGACTGTCGCGTTTCCGAAAGTAACGCGGCTGACACACGAAGAAGTAACAATTGTGTTTGAGCAGAGCACTTCAAGTGTCGAGCTGTGACAGTTGTTAGTTCGCGCTAGTTCATCTTCTCCACGTGCATCCTTTCTCGAGCTGCTTGCCAAGCTGCTTTCCGTGTCTCACGCTGTTAACCATTCTTATCGAGTGGCATTCCAACTTGTTACTACAGCATTCATTCCTTTACTCTTGTGGCGAAACAATTCCTAATAAATGTTCAGGCGGCTGTTCATCTTGAGACATGTTTCACTTTCGTGTTACCCTAATTTCTTTGACAGAGAGATTAAACATGTATTTCGTTATTCCGGGCCAAAGCAAGGCACCCGCTACACAACAGTAACGCATAATCTGCACTTCGTTAATGATTTGGCTGATTAGGGTGAAGAAGTATGGCCGAGGTCTTTGAATTGGGTGGCAAGCTTCAAAAAACACACTGGTGAAGCAGTTTATGTTGTGTGCTGCCTGGTTGTTATATAACTTTTTTACCACATAACATTACCCCTGATAGTTTGATTCCTTGCCTGATAACCCCTTTATGGGGTATTTTTGCGAAGGACATTCCAACGCCGGCGTTGCTTTATAGTAGAATACTCACCTGCCCAAAGGAGACATATGCTCAAATCCCTACTCAATCATTGATGTCTTTTTATCATTACCCCTGACACGCCGACGGCTACTAGTGGCGCCAAACGACAGTTGCGGCAGCAAACTTGGCTGCCGTTGTGATCTCACATGATGTCATACCTTTCAGCGTAAACGCTATAATGTTTTATTATGTTATCTTGTATACAGATGTACACGAAAGGGCTTATTTTCCACAACATGGGAAACAAATAGCGAAAACAACAGATTTATCGCTCAGCAGTATTGTATGGCTGAAATGCACTTCTGACTCTAAAAACCTGCGTGAAATCTAATAAATATTACAAAGAGAAGGCCAAAACAGTCAGAATTACCATGTTTGATATCATTGTTACGTAATGAGTAGTATGAACTAAATATCTCAGCCTCAGGACCATTGTGAAGGTGCTGGTCCCGAAATTCTGGGAGTTCCAGGTTTTCCGTTTGGTGACTGTTCGCAAGTTGGGCAGGGAATCGCAGATCGGTTATCTAAAATGAGAAAGAGTAAAATTACTGTTGAAATTGCAGCAAACCCACATGATGGTGAAAAGAAGCAATGACATAAAATGATAATACACCGTAGCTTTACCCCTTTGATTCAATAAGTGCACTAAGTGAATCAAAGTGCGTAGCCATTCATCATGGAAAATAGTTTTGTTGTAAGCAACAGGTGGGAGCATACATTCAAGGATTTACACCGGAATTGTTTGCATTGTGAAAGGTTATCTCATCTACTTTTGTACTGTAGTGCTGTGTACTGTTGCTGGAATTATTTTTTAATAACCCTATTTTGATGTTCTGATCGTGCCTCAAACGACTGGCTTTTTGCGCACGCACCAAGGAAGGGAAGGAAGGAAGGAAAATAGGAAGAAAAGAATGGCAGGGAGGTTAACCAGCCTATAGGCAGCCACTTTGCTACACTGCGCATAGGAGGGGGATGGGGAGATGAAAGATAGAGAGCAGAGAGGGAAGAGAGATAAACACTGCCCGTTCGGCAGCACACACGCGCACACTCAGTCATTGTCCAGTCTTGTCTTTCACGGTGTGTGACATTGCTGTTACAGCCGCTTGTTCAAGTCCAAGGAAGTACAAAAAGAAACAAGGAGACTTCGAAATGATTTTTTTTTTGCAGTGCCCCTGAAAAGTTATTGTTACAGAACCTTCTTTGCTTCACAAGAAGGGGTGGGGGGTTAATCCAGTTAGTGAGGAAGGCTGACAAGTATTAGTGTAAAAATAACCGAAGGATCTGTTGCCCCCATTTCATTGCGGCTGCTGTTCCTCCTTTGTAGGAACTTGCTCCTTTTGCTCGCGGCTTGTCCTCTGGAGGTGGCCAGCGTGTTCACTACTGTTGCCAGTGTGTACACTTCTGCGGCTGCACTCAAGGTCACCTCTCCGGCGATTCTAACAATAGTTACTAGGTGGCACGCCTCCGCCCAAGACGTCGGTTTTCGATGGCCTAGGTGGTGGCATTCTCGAAGTGTCGTTGAAAGAAAGAGAAGTGAAAAGAAAAGTGTGGCATCAAAACTGTTTCTCTCTCAGGAGGTCACCTCGATCATATATAGAGTTTTCTAATATTGTCTAGAAGGTAATCTGGAGCTCCGGTCATTTAGCGACGAATAGAATAATGGGTGGTACACGGATTTGCTTAGTTTTCATACTTACGGGTGCTGAATTCCGCTTGTGAATTCGTTCATTGCTGTGCTTTGGTTTTGTTTTGAAGAAAAAACGAACCATTTGGATTTGTGTGACCCAATTTGAAATGGTAAGCCGAGAGGAGAAATGGGTCACTAAAAGCATTTATTAAGACGACGTTGATTGTTGAAATAGCGGCCCAGAAATCTCGCAGTGTTACTTATTCGCCGAGGAAGAGCTTATTTTTAAATAAAATCACGTTTTAGTGGCGCCCATTGGGTTAGCGCACTTCAAATTATCCGCCTCAAAAAACAGACCGACTCTAGTCACTCTTGCCATGCACAACGTTGCCCGGCTTTACTGCGCGGTCTTGCCATCTACTACTAGATGGCAAGACCTGTTCAGTTTAATCACGGAACAATGGAATTTTTGAACCACTCATGTCATTCCTCATAGTAACGTCCGGCACTTCTTTTTTCCATTTGTCAAACAGAAACGAACAAGAAGCATTTTATAGCGTCTCTTGATACACGGAAGGTTCCTTATTTAGGGCTGCTAGATCGATTACTATTGAATATTTGTAGGCGGTTTGTCTGAAATCCTTGGTATGATTTTGAGAATGTCATAATTGGGCGCATGTATACTCTTGTGCATTTACCTCAATTTCTTGGCAAGTTGGACACTGCTGTGACAGAACAGCTCCATGCTACACGAACACACACGGAGCTAGAATTACAAAGATTACACAAATACGTGTACAACCCATCATTCCCACACTCGCTTAACCGCCATGCGTTGCAGCTCTGATAGACACTAGCACCAGAGTTTCCTCTAGTGGATATATAGGAAACTCTATGACCCCAACAACGCCACATAGGGGATGGGTAGCAATGGAGAGAAAGAAGGTTGAAAGAAAAAAGAAAAGAGGAGGGTGTCATTGGTGTTTGATCTGGTGGTGCGCAACCACACGCCGCTTTCGAAGTGGGAGGAGTGAAAAGAAACCATCAGGCAGGTCGGCAGGGTGCGGGTCGTCGCTTCGTAGGCACGGCACCACGCGACAAGTTCTTACGATTTGTGTTACGCACAGGTAACGGTATCCTCCTAAGCACCTTCACATGCATGCTCTCAACCCCGCCGAAGAATGCCTGATAGCTCCGAGTTTGCCATCTATGAGCATTAGACAATTGACCGTCGGTAGTGACCAGTATGGCACAAAGGCGCAGGTATTTAACGTGCCGATCGACCTGGCCACCAATGTGTAGAAACTGCCACAGAACGTGCCCGACAACGCTGCCTTCAGCCTACACTTCATGTGCCGGCTCGTTAACAAGCCTTCCTATACAGAAAGGATCTCGCCAGGAAACGTCCCATGCACCTCTGAGCAAGCTCATCTAAGATGATTCACTTTGTAGATATGGCGGGGACTTTTCTTTCTGATATTGTTGCATATGGGTTTTAAATAGGCCAGTGATGTTCTTGAAATGTTTAGCGCCTGTTCTCCCATATTAGTCTTTGCGTCATGTCCCGTAAAAGCATTTTCAAGTTGATAGATTACACAAGCGATGTAACCATCTGAAAGCACTGTCTAAAGTGATAATACACTGCAATAATATTTCTTAAGTGTATGGGAATGACTTTAACGATTGAGTGGGAAAAATATGAATAATAAGCACTTACAGCTGCATTTATTATAGCATCCTCTCAACGTAGCGAAGCTGTTGCGGCCTTTCCCGCATTGATGTTTTGGGAACTCCAAACAAGCATTATGCTGGAAGTCGAAGAAGAAGTGCTTCTTTCTTAAAAAGCATCGATCGCGTTCAGGATCCGCGCTGCAAAGTGGCGTTGGTGTCATTTTCGCTGAAAATAACATGGAATTGAAGAGCACGTAACGAGCAATATACTTGAAAAGTATACAGACATAAATTAGGAAATGTTATCAATGTTGAGAATTGCTTTTCCTTGCCAATAATTCTTTATGATTTTGTTTACAATTTGCAAGCAATAAGTCGCATTTATATACTTTTAGTTGTATTGTTAGGTATTTGTTTACGGGGCACACTTTCCAGTTTTTACTAAAAAATAACAATGCTTATTCACTTTGGGTTGTGCAACAAGTATTGTTTTTAATAATATAAATGGGTTAGTAGAGCACATTTGATGTCCTACACAAGGACGCTGACCATGTAGCAAGGTGATGCTTAGTTCCGCAAGCACTTTTTTGCTACAGTAAATGTTTTCATCTCTCTCATCCTCTTTATTGCGCACGCTGACCCCTTGGTTGGAGCTCGTGCGTATGAACTAATTGCAGGTGCAGCGCTTTGGATTCGCTTGTCGTATACATATAACGATGCAGTCGGCGTTTAGCTTAGTTCGCAACGCCTGTAATGCACAGAGTGGCATGCGTAGCACTTTAGCGCTGGCAGCTACTTTCTGTGGCGGTATGTGATAACTCTTACATTGATGCAACTACGGATAGCTAAATCTTCAAGCGCTGCTGGCATCACCCGACCATGACGCGTGCATTCAAGCATCCAAACCGTGATTGCAAGGAGAACATGAGGTGGAGGGAACGACAGTGGTCACTACAGTGGCACCGTCATGTGGTAGCTGATGACGTCATCATTAAATTGTGTGGTGAGGGTGTTCACCGATATCGCATATAGAAATAAAGTGGTGGATGAACCGAGGCTTGCAGGCGGTGACTGTTGTTTAACGCTCCCTCACACTGCCTGTTGGAGAGGCAGTCGCGATACGCTCCGTCTGCGGTTGTTGGGGCGAAAGAGAAACAGTGCATGCGTGCGTGTCTCTATCAAATTATTTGCCTCATATTATCTTAAAATCAAAACAACAAAGGGTCTCCGTTCACAATTTGCATTAGGCAGCTGCGTAATCGTCTGTTATTTTTTGTAGTAAGCAAGCTGCTGTCATCCATGGCTGGTCTAAGCACCAGACGTTTAGCACGACGCAGTATATTGCAACCATACCTGACTGCACAACGGGGACGCATGCGTAAGAAATCGAGTTAGAAATAAATGGGAGCTTAACACCGACCTAAAAATTTTAGAATAAAATACTGAAAAGACCATAGGTGCCACTGGGCCACCTATAATTGCAGACTGACATATCAGATCAAAGCAATGTGCGAGGTGGTGATGACACGTTGCAGTAACGAAAACGCGGATCGTTTAAGGGGATATGAAACTTTAAAAAAGTTATTCACACTATGTACTACAAAGAGGTTGATCGTGTTTCATTATATTGACGTGCAGATAGGGCCTTCAATTACAAGACGGAAAAGTAGATTTTATACAGAGCTTGTCTTTAATCTGACAATAACTACGCTGTTTTCTAGAGAAAGGCCGGCCAGGGAAATAATTTAATTGCTTCATTGGCTGATAAAGCGGTACATTCGCACATTTTATTTATTTATTTATTATAATACCCTCAGGGCCCGTAGGGCATTACAGAGGGGGTGGGTACAACATTTTATAACACACAAGAAAAAAAGACAAAGAAAAGAAACAAGTGTCAGAAGCGCAAATCACGAAGGCAACATAAATCAACTAAAAATGTATAAGTAAGAATTCAAGCACATACAAGACAAAGATAGATAATGGAAACTGCGTATAGTTACAAACATTGCTGAGAAATTGCAGTCTTGAATAACAAAGGGTCTGTTATTGGTACAACGGAAGAAGGAAGGTGGTTCCAATCGGCGGCTGTTTTCGGTAAGAAGGCTGCTGAAAAGAATTTGGTGCGGCAAAACGGAATGGCAACCTTATGCTGGTGATCAATGCGCGATGAGTGGTATGACGGTTGTGAAATGAGGTCTCGCTTCATTGATGGATTGTGAAAAAATATCTTATGAAAAAAATGCAGTCGCACCAGTTTCCTCCGGACAGTTAAATTGGGCAGGTCAAGGTTAGATTTCATTTCTGATATGCTAGCAGTACGGGAATAATTAGAACAAATGAACCGAGCTGAGCGGTTCTGAACAGATTATAACGCGTTGATTAAATTTTGCTGCACAGGATCCCATATAGCTGACGCGTACTCAAGCTTTGGGCGAATTAGTGATCGGTATTTTGCTAATTAAGTTTTGTCTCCGGGTTTGGACATGCAGCTTAGTTGATGATTGATGACTGTGTATTGAGTCATAATCTCTAAAAAACGTGCACTAAAAAATTCGTAGCGTTCTTACGCGCCAATTGCTTTCCTAATTACTTCTTGAGGCCATCGGCTAGAACATTGCTGCACAAGGGCTCTATCCTAAGAATAGAATCTATATAATCAAACATATTTGTTCTTGCGCTTTGGCTTAAATATACTCAGCCATGTTATAGTGTTTCAATGTTGTTTTTCAAGCACCAGGAAAGTTGATTTAGCTTTTTGTTTTGTTTTCATAGAACATACAATAATGTGTGATTTTATTAATCTAAATAAAATACGAAACCTTATTTTACGCCACGTTTGCAGCATTGTGCCTTATTATTATATCAGTATTTTTCTAAATAAATTACCAAAGAAGGTCCAGCTAGTTGGTTCTGATGGTTTTTCTGCGATATGGCGTAACTAAAGTGAAAAGTGCAATGTTCTGTTTGTTTTTCTCGGTCCGTGTTAAGCTCAAAATGATATTCTGTCTTGTAAAAGTAACACCACAAAAAGGTGAGAGCAGGAAAAAAACCATGCAATACGTTTTTATAAACTGCCATGGCTGTTGTTTGGAACAATCGAGTTTCTTGAGGAAATTTTTATAATACACGCGCCTATAACAGATGACTCAATGATCAGCCAAATGAGAACAGCATTATTGTAAGCGATTTAGTGAAAGCTGGTCGCTTGATAGCGGATCACTGTCGCAGACGTAATTATCTCTTGTGTTTCTTTTTAAATATTTAAGCTGTCAGCTAATGATCCAGGCCGTCAGGCAGGAATACAGTTCAGTAGGTTTGCATTCACCACTGGTGAATAAGCACATATTCTCGGTCCCTATATTATAGAAAGTGCGATACCATGATAGGAACCTCTCAATCAATTGTTTTAATTACTCGCTACGGGTGCCTATATGCAACATGCTACTTAGTGAATTGGCTTGTATCCATTGTATTGCATTTCTTTTTCTGTCTGTGTGCGCGTTTTCAATAAAATAGGATGGTTTCTTTGCATGTTCTTTGAACAAAATTTGCCAATTGGAGCTCAGTGCTCTCTTTTTTTCTAATATAGTAATTAAAATTATCCGCGCTGGCAGAACATGTCTGAAAAAGGTCCCTGTAAGGGTCTGCCACCAGCGCCACACGCACGTTTTGAACCGAAGATATTTTCGATGTATGAAGTTTTTAATAATAGTAGTGGTAACACCTTCATTACATAAATTCTGATGCTCTGAACGAGCTCCGCTGCATTGGTGTTTAGGGATTATGGGCTTGGGTTCACTCAAGTTGGAGATTCGTACACTCGCGTTAAAATATTTGAATGGTGTTTAAATTGATTACAAAAATGACGTTATTAACCAAACGTAACATAAAAAAAACGGATGCACTGAATTTCACCATACACCACTCTTGTTCTGTACGCTGGCCTATTGTACTATGCAGATATTCTAAGAAAGATGGAGGTATTCTCTAATCACAAGAATGTTCGGCAAGTAACAGTTCCTGCAACAGAGTAACAAAAATGAAACTCATGTTGAAATGACATTTATTTGGCAGTGAATTTAGGAGTGAACAAGCGCCATGGATCCAGTAGTAAAACGTACACCCGAAGCGAAACAAGCGATAATCATGTACTAGTGCACAGATTAGAATGAAGTGCATATTGGATGTCTAAAATATTTTCAGCAATAATCAAACCGTGACGCTCGTGTGAATCCGGCTCACGTGTCTCACAAGTTATTAGCGACTTGCGAAAACTATCGCAATACGACTAATGGCAGTGCACACGAACACTCGCATAGGTCGATTTGGTGATCCGAAAAGCAGAAAATGTTTCGACAGCTCAAACATGGCAATGAAACATCTAATAAAAACAAGGTAATTCACAGCCCACTTCAGAATGCTTTTGTATCCTGGCTATTTTCAGACAACAAACTATTTTAACACAACAAAGAAATTAACTTCACCTCATTCACAGAAGGAAGAATACATGAAAGTATTATCATGATTCAACAGTGGAGCACACACGTGTGGTACACCAGCACTTTCACATCGAGACGTCGTGAATTCATTAAAATAATCCTTCGAGAAAAACTACGACCTTACGTGCGTCATCATACGCTTTACTTTCATGAAATCTCTCTGGTGCTTCTTCATGCGGTTTTGGTTAATTTTTTTATTTTGCATATCTTGTAATCTGAGAAGAGAAGGAGCGTGCGCTATATAAAAAGACGAAAATTGCCTAAAGGCCATACCACGAAAAATACCTGAGTAACGATTTATCGCGGTCTTATATTATGTAATTTACTGCCGTATTGCGTTATTCTTTGAGTTCGTTTTCGTTGTACCAACTCAGGAGCACAACTATGCACATGTTAACTCCGAGGTCACACATTTTGAAGGGCTTCTTTAACTGGAAAGCTCTACGTATTTTCGTTGCTACGGAATCACTGTAATCAATTTTATACTCACGATTACACGTCCACTGACACTTCAGTTCGCTCAGAAACACGTTGCAAGAAGTGCCACAGCTGATGTGGCTGAACATTTTACATGACTTGGATGTCCACTCATAGTACCACCTGTGACGTAGCACACCGCAACTAACGAGCACCGCTGGTTTGAGACATTGACCCAGCATCACCTTGCTAGGCGCTGAAAAAAAAAGTCCCCACAGCTATTTTTATGGTTTGAAGAGGGAAAATCGTAATACATTGTGAAAATCTCAACAAAAATATATTTAGCAGCTCGAAAAGACCAAAAACCTAATAAGAGTCAAAATTCCCAACCCACTCACTACTTTGAAAGCAAGGCCTTGCCTCCGTAAAGGACCTAAGTCAACTGTACTATACAGCACTGAGCTAATTGGTAAAGCTCAACAAAATGGATGAGGTTTTCTTTGAGAACTCAATTTTCGTTAATCTTACCATCGTAGGTTAATTATGACAACAGAAAATCAAGGTCAAAGTGTCACATTTAAATTTAGCGCCGGGGTTTGCTTGTGGGGCGTCACGACTTCAAAGTGTACTTTTTTTATGTTTTACCACATTGACTAAGTGAAATATGCCAAAAATTAGTGTGTTAAGTCTCCAGAACGATCAGGAGGCATCGCACAATGAAGCCTGCTGATTTGATTGATTTGTGGGGTTTAACGTCCCAAAACCACCATATGATTATGAGAGACGCCGTAGTGGAGGGTTTTGGAAATTTTGACCACCTGGGGTTCTTTAACGTGCACCCAAATCTGAGCACACGGGCCTACGACATTTCCGCCTCCATCGGAAACGCAGCCGCCGCAGCCGGGATTTGAACCCGCGACCTGCAGGTCAGCAGCCGAGTACTTTAGCCACTCGACCACCGGGGCGGTTCGAAGCCTGCTTATGGCGTACGCCTTAGTAACACTCTGATTACGTACGCCCTAGTAGGCACTCTCTAAATTTGGGACGTCATAACGTTTGGTGCCGGAATTTCAAGGCGGCGACGCCCCCCGAGTTTCTTTTTTGCGTGTTCCGGTGTGTCTGAAGCGTTTATGCGGCGAGCACAGTAATCTTGAAATAGTTAAGGGTTAATTAACGAACAACAGAAAAACCGTTTTCCTTTTAGTGTAGTCTCTCTGTAGTCTCCGTTTATTATAATGAAGTCTCCTTCTTATGCGAAAGAGTTTAGAGGCATGCGTACACTGGATTATGACTGTTTCCGCTTTACGTGACAACACATATACCTAATATATCACCTGACAAAAGTTGTGCAATTTGGATGTTAACAGCGTGACTTCTCAAATGCTTCTCAATGACAGCCAGTGGACAGGTGCCGCCACTTCGTTTCTTTTTGACAAAACTCTCGCAATAATATTCGCTTTATTTTGTCGTGAAGGTGCACCATTACGAGCTTCGAGATACAGACTCAGTAGAGAAAGAAATACACCATCTCCCGCTATTGTGAACCATGTGTAGATGCGAAGCAGCGGCCGCTAACGCTTACCCGGACGGCGGCGTTGCGCGGGAAATGAATATGTAGCATAGTAAGCCATGCTGCATAACATCGTGCACAAATCCGTCCGCATAGCCACACCTATTTCGTTCGCCTACCCATGTGACTTGCCGATACAATCCGTTGAACATCGTGCCAGTCAAATAATATTTTGATTGTTAAAATACTATTTTTTCTCTACAGAGTTGCCACTTGGAATAATCTGGAGACTTTTCTGAGACGACTACCGCATCCACTGCTTGTTAAGCAAGTGTACACTTATGTAAATTGATGTTTTCAATTTGTTGTTGTTCCTGTTATTTGATCGTTTATTGTGTGTTGAACAGGTGTCTAACTACGTTCTTTGATGTTTTAAATTCTGTTGTTTTTTGTTTGGTTCGTTTATTGTAACCACTCCTGCAATGTCTCAAGCATGCAAGAGCAGTATCTGTAAATAAAATAAACATAAATAAAATAACTATTTATACGTCCTGTAGAGGGTGTTGTCACCTGCATAGCCAATCTCACATCGGGACCAAGACGTCAAGCCTACTATAGCTCTGTCATGGGCGTATACTCCGCAGCCAGGACTTGGGGGATATGGTCGTGAGAGATTATCATCCCCGAAAGCTGCTCCTGGGAAATGCCAAGGCCAAGTGGCCCACACTCGTGCATACTTCTTTCTTGCATAACTTGCAAACAGCATCCGTTTCTTCTTTGACGTACCATTCTTTTGCCTATGACGGTGAGCATTAAGACTGTATTTGGAATGGTTCAAGTGTGACCGTTTCCGTTCTGTTTAGTCTACTGTGAGCGCATGCAAACTTTCTCCTTGTTAGGTTGTCGTGTTTGGTAATTAAGATTATGACGTGAGCATATTCCATGTATATCATCAAATCCAGCAGAATCAAAGCCATATATAAAACAGCCCAGTCCTTAGCTTCGTGGGCAACGTGGTTGGCCGATTAATTTGTATTCACGTGAAAGTCATCACGTGACTCAAGGCGCACTGGGAACCAATATATGTATTGTGTATCCACGGTCTTTCTACTATTAGGACGTCTAACTGCTTGTGGTGTGATTTCGCCCCTAATGAAGGCTCAGATGGCTTGTATTAGGTCACTGTATATCTCGGTGTATCTATCATGCGTTAGGGCCAACGCGATGGCAACCTGAGCGAGTCCCTCTGCCCCTTTATTCAATTTTTTCAATAAAGTCTTCTACATGCTACCCTTTAGGCGATGTTAAAAGTATGGTGCCTATTTCTTGGCAACAGGGCTACGATGATGATTTCGACAAAGTGCTGCGGTATCTCGGTGTATGTCTCCTGGTCGATGGTAGGGTTGATAACGATTCCATGATTCTATCAAGAATCTATTTCCACGTGCAGTTGTAGAGAGCCTTGCGCTATTTTTTATTTTTCCTGAACATCCAAAATTCTTTAGTCGCGTTGTGTATCTCTAACTTGAGCAGAAACTCGGAGAGGCACAAAGCGCGCTGTGAGGAACCGGTGTTTCCTACTGGAACATGTCAGTCGCTGCTCATAGGCACTGAAAGACAGAAGACTCTGACGGAACTAGCCTGCTTTTAGTTAACGCTTACACTGCCAATTTTTATTGTTCAACAACAAACAGGAGAAATATCCCACCGGCCCTGCCTTGGAGGTCAAGATCCAGTGCCACTATATACGGTGTGGCCAGTGCACGTTTGTGCTGTGCGAGCGGTCGGTTTTTCCTATGAAGAAACTTACTAGCTGACGCTGCTTGCGCCGGCGTTGTGAGATGAGAAAGGGGAGGGTACCTGTATGCACAATAGGGGTGTAAGCGTCGCAGAAAAAGATTAGGAGAGAAAGAACGGGGCGGGCGTAGTAGATTTGCAGACACTGCCTGCATCGGTGTTGCGAGGCGAGACGGAGCGTACGAGAGGAAAGAGAAGACGCGAATGCACTGTGGAGTGAGGACGCCGCCAGACCGAGTGGCCTCAACAGATGCTTCGAATCTTTATAAAGTTAATAGGAATTCTGCCGCACAAGCTTCCTGTGGCCTTCACGTCTGCGTCTCTTTGAGGAACTGCATAAATGATGCATGACCATGATACTTCGCCACAGCTGAAACCGCTACAATACGTTAGAACCCACTTCATCTTGTACATTCACAACATTATGCTCAAATTACAAAATGACCCCTTTGCACGGTTGTTACTTTTTGGCATTTTTTAAAGCTACAGAGTTTACCATCCTTGCTGTCCGAGAGGTGTACCATCCGAGAGGTGTGCAACATGTGAAAAATACGCGTACAGCCAGCCGAAGGAACCACTTCTGATACGGTCCGTGCCTGACCAACCCTGGTATCGCGTAGGTATGGACCTCTTTTGCTATGGCGGGAGGTCCTACCTGTGTGTCTACGACGCATTATCAAACTTCCCGGAAGTCGAATGCCTCCGAGACACAACTGCGAGGACCGTCGTCAACGCCACTAGTGCTATTTCTGCACGTTATGGCATACCTATGGAGGTGCTATCAGACAATGGCCCTCAATTTTCTAGCAGCGAATTCGCTTCATTTGCGCGCACTTAAGATTTCAAGCACATTACCTCAAGTCCAGGGTTCCCGCGTTCTAATGGACTATCTGAAAAGGGGGTGCAGGTAGGGAAGAGACTTTTTAAGAAGGCTACCGAGGCTAAACAGGATTTTTGGTTGGCTCTTTTGGCCTACAGGACCTCTCCTTTGGAATGTGGACTGACACCTGCAGAGATCATCCAGGGCCGCCGGCTGCGGACGCAGCTACCCGACTACCAGTGTGGCACTTCCCACCGAGTCGTCAAGCATCATCGGTCTCGACCGTTCACACAGCCACTAGCCCCACTCCATGAAGGCGACGTTGTGCGAGTCCAGAGCGGCTCGTAGGCCATTAAGGCATGGGTTCTGAAGCCGTCAACATATCCAAGGTCGTACCACGTAATCACACAGGAAGGGCGCTGCCTCCGGCGCAACCGCAAGCACTTGCTACCGACTAGAGAATCCTTCCAGCAGGACTCTGTTCCCAACGGGAGCAACGTAGAGCCAAGCACCTCGACAGCTGCGCGGCACGTCGAAGACACAGCGCCAGGCAATGATCCAATTACCGCGGGCACACAGAGTAGTCCGAAGCCAGCACCCAGAAGGTCACTGAGAACGCAAAGACCACCACCACGACGAATAGAATATGACCAAGACTTTGAACAAATTGCTTGAACTCTCCCTTTGTTTCTATATGTTCTTCATTTGTTACGAAGTGCAACCTCAAGCTATCGTGTTTTCCGCATATGTAAATAACTGCACAGTTTCTTTGTTTTCCTAAGGAAAAATGATGTATCGTATCGCGCCTCACTCGTGCGCTACGTATGATAAGCTCAAGGTGCTTCGCCCGATCTTGATGCTATCGCGTGTTGATCAAAGGGGCGTTGCCCAGAGTGTATTATAAATGTGACGGGCTGAATAAACGGAGCAGCACTAGCTGCCTGACGCACCTGCTGTCACGCTGATCCCTGGACCCATACACTTGCAGCTTATAGAAAGAGAATGGTATGACAAAAAAGTACGTAAAAGGTTTCGCAGATCCCACGCATTGTGCGATTTGACTTAATACGAATCTACTAGGCAATAGCTGCTCATGTGCTAGTTTGAGTCAAAGATGACGAGATATACCGACGTCTTCGTGTAACCACGAGACCGTTCAGTGAGCATGGCTACACTTGCGCATGAAAAATAACTTGTTTTCTGATCTAAAGCTCGCCCACACGTTAAAGCACAAAGTCACTTATTTCAAAACGCAGTGATAGATAGATAGATAGATAGATAGATAGATAGATAGATAGATAGATAGATAGATAGATAGATAGATAGATAGATAGATAGATATATAGATAGATAGATAGATAGATAGATAGATACTGCAATGGAGCCTTTGGTTCACGACAAAAAGATAACTATACGGGCAATGCACACTTACGCTTGCAGGCTTCCATGCACTGTTGGTGAGACGCGAACTTGTTGTTGCCTCGGTTGCACAATCCTGGAGCCAACTGTCTACAGATTCTCGCCTTACCGTCAAAGAACCATGAAGACGTTATTGGTTCGCAGGTTTCAGTAAATGGTGGTTTTAAGCAGCACAAAGGAATTTTTCGTTGAGGCTTGCGGGGTAATTTACCCAGTACCTGAAAACCTGTGAATAAACATTAAAATTTTGCTAGCAAACAAAATCCACGCAAAAGAAAAAAAGACAACGGCTGTTAGAAAGACGTCATTTGCCTTCGTTGAACACGTGAACGCAAAATGTTGTAACAAGAAAGTCGCAGTTACCAGGCAAGGGCAAAGTAAGGAGTGCGATAGCCACATCCCAACCCCAGCGAACCACTACATATCTCTACAACTGGGGACCGAAGGAGCTAGGCGAATCATTGAGCTGCTATAGAGCAGGTTTGACTTTCAGACTTGTGCTTGCGTTGTCCTTATGACCCACTAGAGTTACTGTATATGCTATGTCTAGCAAGGAGCACATTCAGTGACTGTATGTCCCAAAACGTTCCAAAATCCTCCTTTGGGTGGGGAAAAAAAACGGAGTGCGTTACCTCAAGAAAACTTAACATGGCCGTTGGCAGTGCCACATAAAGCCATGGCTCGTATTCTCTACGAGTATCTGTTGTTGTCACGATGTAAAATGTGTACTTTCATTTGCTTCAGCCTTTTTGCGTCTTCGCTCCTGTGCCATAAGGTAGGCTTATGGCACAGGAGCGAAGACGCAAGAAGGCTGAACCCAAATGAAAGTACACATTTCACATCGTGACAACAATAGATACTCGTAGAGAATACGAGCCACGGCTTTATGTGGCACTGCCAACGGCCATGTTAAGTTTTCTTGAGGTAACACGGGAACATGGGAACGCCTGGCCTCCACGCTCCGGCGGCTGCTGGCAGCGCGTTCAAGTGGAAGCGAGAGCAACCGCAGCCTCTTCTCGCGTCATTTCGCGACGAGCAAAGCAACCATTCATTGCTGATACCAAACCAGCAGCAAGATACTACCCTCTTTTCCCCCTATGAAGGTGAATAATGCAAGAGGTTAGTAATCGCCTTGAAGGAGGAGAGGGTTGCTGTGGTTGCTCTCACTTCCACTTGAATGCGCTGCCAGCAGCCACCGGAGCGCGCAGGCCATGCGTTCCCGTGTTCTATTTCATAAAAATTGACACTGTACAAATCTACTAAATCCCGAGATAAGCAAAAGCGCTAGTGAGCCACCACGCTAAAGAACATCTGATCCCGTCACGTGGAGGCCAGCATGCGCAGCGACGCACGGAGTGGCAGCATGACGACCTTTGGAGCACGGGATCCCAACGAGCGCCCGTATTGCCACATGGTCACTGATGACGAAACATCGGCAGATACCACGTACCTGGGAATAAGCGTTATGCGAAGCATGCGGAGGGAAGGTGATCGTGTCGCAATTTTTTAGAGTGACACGTCATAAAAGACACTAATATATGTACAAATGTGTGACGCACAGACCTATGTTGAAGAGTTGCAGATGTTTATATAATCAGTTGTTTGCACTTGCACAATGATGCCAACTGGAACATGTGCAATAGCAACACCAGAAGCTGATAAGAAGCGCTGGCTCGCAAGGATGTTGGCCCTGGACCCTGATACATAAATCAACTTGAGCGCATGCCAACTAACCACATTTGACGTTGACCTGACGTGAGGGCTGTATCAAAAGAGTACATGTGCGATGTTTATAAAACTGGGTAGGTAGCACTGCAACTACTATTGATGTTTCACGAAGACTAGCGTCCAATGGAAAAGTAGTTCCGAGACACGGCGTAGCTCTGTGGTAAGATACTTCACTGTCACGCAGAATACTTCGGTTAGATTCTAACTGGGACCCTAACATTCATTCTTTGCATTTGTCGGGTCGACGCTGCCAATGTGGAGTATTTGTTAACGCTCACGTGTTAAAATTGCCTATGTGTGTTCTCGTCGTCCCTTGGTAGATACCAAGTGTAAATCACCTGTGGCACATACCCGCATAGCAGCGGCACATACCCGCCCGTGGGTATGAGCAACTGTCGTGAGGGAAGTGTTTGACGAAGTACGTGACGGAATTGTGTCATAATTCATGTTTTGATTAGCGCGTCATGTTCGTCAAACCATCTTACCCTCCCATGCTAATTTAGCTTCACGCCAAGTTAGGGGGGTGCCCACAGGAGCTCCCAAATGTAAGCGGCTAGATAGATAGATAGATAGATAGATAGATAGATAGATAGATAGATAGATAGATAGATAGATAGATAGATAGATAGATAGATAGATAGATAGATAGATAGATAGATAGATAGATACGATCAAAGTCGCCGAAGTTTGCTAAGAAATGCTTCGCATTGCTTATCTTGAAGGACCACCAGGAGAATATTGTGCATATAAATGGCTTTACGTTTACGTAGCGGAGAAGGGTTGCTTCGTGGCCTAGTGTTTAGCGTCGTGCGCTGGGGAGCGCAATAAAGAAATGGCTGAATCTAACTACAGAAGTATCCAGAGATTAAAGCCTGGTTGGTTTCGTTCTACTGTAATGAGCAGAGAGGGTCTGGTTCTCAACGACAGTGGCCGTCTTTCGCTATCAGCGAAATGCAGTTAGCCTCATGGGCAGACACGTTAACAATGGTATTTCGTGCAGGAGGGATAGATTCGTACAAGGTCACAGGCCAAGTGATACGCGTAACGAGTTATCGGTGTAACGATTACCTCACATTACCAGGTGTTCAACATTACTGCATATCATGATAATGGACCACGTGGCGAACTACGTCATAACGCGTTGTGCCTCACAGGCGCGTGATGCGTACTTCGTTCGCCTGAGGTGTTCAAAGTTTCACTTCAATGCATATGTTGCAGCTGATTTGTCTTACGTGAATGCAGCCAAGTTTTGGCCTTCCTGTGTTACGAGAATACGATGTCTTAAAGGTGTTTTTATTTTTTATTTATTTATTTACTACTGTAAGCCTTTCTCAGGCTCATACAGGGTGGGCGGGCAAATATACACAGTCGCGTACAAACCAGGCAATATCGCACATAGCGGAAGAAACAGAATCACAAGATGATGGTGAAAATAAAACTTGAACGATGAAAGCAATTGTACAAAATCATAGACAGGTCACAAAACATCGAGGTATCAGCAAGGGATACAGTGATCAGTGTGTTCGGAAGCGCTCACAAACATCGAAAAACAAAAGTTGCTTTTAGTCTTCATAAAACAGGCTTTCTACATTCCCAACAAATGAATCTGCAAAGGAAAGGTTAACGCATTCACGTGGCAAATTGTTCCACTCTTCCACTGCTGATGGGAAGAATGAATATTTAAAAGTGTCACAGCGTGACATTTCTTTCCTTAAAAGAGAAAGACGAAAGATTAAGTGGAAGGACAGAGACGTTAGCCAGTTCTTAGACCAGCTGGCTACCGTGTGCTGGAGAAAGAGGTCAAGAGAATAAAAGATGATAGAAAAGAAATGTAGCAAAGAGAGAGAGAGAGAGAGAAAATAAAAAATAGCCATAGAGGAAAAGCAAAAGCCAAGAGAATAAGACACTAAAGTCTGTCTCTGAGGCCAGTTGTCCGTAAAAAGTGATACAACACAAGTATGCTGAAGCTGGGACTACAGTGAGCGAACTTAGATCGTCAAAATGTCTGGAGCTGACGGAGATTGACTCGTGAAATACATTTTGCCTTTGGGGCACAGATGGACGCAGACTAACACGTTTGGGGCTCACATAAACTCAGAATCACTAGATATTTTTGCGGCTCGATTCTCTCAGACTGAAGCGCCAAAAATATTATTCACTCGTACTCGCTCACACTTCTACTCACGAATAATCAAGGTGTAAATGAGTCTGACTACGTCGACTCATGAGCTCGTTAGTATATACCTAGCATTTTGTTTCTAATTTTGGTGTTAGTGTTCTTTTAATGCTAACATTTCGCACAATTAAAACTCTACATGAATTATTTGATCTCGTGCCTTCAAATAAGAGCTATTTGTGGCTGTAAACCACTAAAGTAAAGACACTTTGTTACTGAAATGGCTGGATCACGTGCGCCATTTTTTCTCTAGAACTTCCGTGAAAATTCTTCTAAATACAGTGCAAGGAACCTCACCCTCCAACCCCACCACTTTCGTCATATATGTGAAGCTTGCGTATGAATGTTTGTGTATTAAAGTATGTGTAGCATAGGCGTGACAATGAGCGTAGGCCAGCACAAGGATGACAGTAATATTTGATAAAGTTCCGCAGATCAAATGATAGGTCGGCGAAAAATGTGGAGCTAACTCAGATTCACTCAAAAATATATTTTGCACTGAAGACTGACTCGGACTAAAATTCGCTCAAGTTTGCCACAAAAGGAATCATTCGGACTCAGACTCACAAATTTTTTTCTCGACTAGATTCACTTGGACGAAAACTAGCCAAAATAATACTTATCCATACTTGCGCAAATACAAGCTCACACCTCAATACGATAGCGATTCGAGTATTCAGTGAATATGCCGACATACAGTGGGATAACCAGGCCTTCTGTACGTCCACATTTTTCATCGGTAATAATGAAGCAAATTTTTGAAAATTGCAACAAAATATAAGGAGTAATGCATGAAAGAAGAGGCGAACTTTCGGTCAATGCAGATATTTTGTTTTCTTTTAACTCGTGCAACCGTAGACGAAACTGCAGTTCTTATTAGTCATTAACCTGGTTACATTTTTTGCGCAAAATATCAATGGCAGTTAACCTAAACGTAAGGGGGTTTCGAAGTAACTCATGGAATAAGGTCAGTTTATTTAGCTGGAAAAAATAAACAACACAGGAGATGTTGTGAAAGTAAAGTAACGAAAAGCCGTTGGATTACGTGGAACTAAAAATGTTAATGCAAATTGACTAATTTTGCACGTGTTTTATTGATGACAAAGTACAAGCGTACGTGTTCACTGTACAAACAATATTATAGTTGTTCTGATAATG